AGAACATAGAGAACATAGAACATATAGAACATAGAGAACATAGAACATATAGAACATAGAGAACATAGAACATAGAGAACATAGAACATATAGAACATAGAGAACATAGAACATATAGAACATAGAGAACATAGAACAGAGGTCTAGATGTTTTTAGACGTTTTAATGAGGAAAAGTTACACGTTATAACTTTAAGTCAAAGAAAAAATCTGTGTTCACTTTAACTCAACCTGCAGCAACATGTATTTGTCTTTTTTTATTTTGTGTATTTTATATTTGTATCTGTTTTGTGACTTGTAATGTTTTTGTTTTCTGTCACCTGCTCAGGGACTACGATGTAAATTAGCATTTTTGCTACAATCTGTCGTGTTTACATTTTGTGCTTGTACTGATGTTTATTAACATGTGTTGTCCCGATCAAATAAACAAATAAATAAATAAATAGAGTAAAATGAAAAGCACCAGCAAGCGCCACAAACAAAGAGCCATTAGAGCTCATTAAACACCCTGGGTCTCAAAGTGAGGACGCAGAAATAGTGACATATTGAGGAGGAGTGTGTGTGTGTGTGTGCGTGTGTAGGTGTGTGTGTGTGTGTGTGCACGCTTTGGAGTGATGTGCAGTGGATGGGGGAGGGGGGGTGTGTGTGGGTGATAATTGGAGTTGGATATGTACACCGGGAATTGCCGGCGGCTTCATGAAATATTCATGAGGCAGAAACGAACCAAGATCCACAGGACTGATGGCAGGCAGATCACACAGTGCCGGTTCCATATGCATCAGGCCGCCTGACCCGTTCATCGCCGCCGCCGCCATGAATCACAATCAGCTGCTGTAAGGTGGAATACACTACAACATCGTCACAGATAATGTAGATTTTTTTAGGATAACGTCGGGCTGAGATGAATTCATGCGGCGAGGAACCGGTGAGGAGAGCAGCCTTTGATAGACGCTCCCACAGCAATAATACCTGCACTCTGCCGTGTGCTCAGCATTCATGAAAACATTATATAGAACAGCCACTTTCAGCCCATCATCACACACTCTGATGGATGGCAGCACATTTTGGAAAAAGCCATAAAAATGTTAATAAGTTTTATGGCTCTCTCCATTTCTGAATCAGTGCATTCAGAAATAGTTGTTGACTGTCACGTGAACTTTAATAATAACTGGTTAAGACAATTCTTTTTTACATTTGTCCTCATGAGCTGTTGTTTTTTGTTCATTCACAATTCACAATTTTAATACCCAGAAAAATATAAGATTTAATCCATCGAAAGGAAATCAAATAACAATGATGCTAATGTCCTCCAGCAACAAACACGGACCAGACGAATGTCTCAGTCGGCTCCTACGAGAACAGCAGGTACTGGAATGCACCAGGTCATTTATAAAACCATACATGTATATACAAATTAAATATATATTATATATATATATATATATATATATATATATATATATATATAATATATAAAATATACATATACATTTTATATATTAACTTAACCTGTACTCTTTAACTTAACCTGTAGCCGTTAACCAGCAGTTGTTAACCTAACCTCCAAGTCTTTGGACTGTTGGAGGAAGGAAGAACATGCAAACTCTGGCAGGTTTGAACCCAGAACCCTGAAAATAGAGGGTTTGACAGGCTGGAAACTTTCACCTCCAGCTCCAGTCAATTTCAAAATAACAGAATAATTCAGATTGTATGCCACTGTTTTCAATCTACACGATATGGACTCACCGTTTCCTCTCTTCTTTGGCGATTTAGAGACTCTGCTCCTGCTGGACGAGGACACGCCACTCTCGCTCATGGAGTCATGTGCCGAAGAAGTGCTGCCGGTGGTCTCGCTGTCTCGGATCATGCTCTCATAGCCACTGCTTCCCCCGCTGTGGTAGAACAGGGCGGTGCGGCCCATGGCGGGGGGCAGTTCCCCGCTCAGGATACTGCTGTTGTCGCTGCCGTGCCCGCTGCTGTAGCGCTGGGGCCTCCGAGGTGCAGTGATCTTGCTGTAAGGTGATGGTATTGGTGTGTTGACTGGTGAACCACTGACACTACTAGTACCGCTGTCAGTGGCATCACTTCCTGTCAGTCCATGCCCCCTACTGAGCTGTTTCCTTGGGCTCCCAGCAGCTAGCTCGCTAACCCTGCTGTTAGCCGCCCTGCTGATGGCCTGCTTCGTGCCCATGATGGTGCCTCTTCCCGTCTTGGCTCCTATCCCAGAGCGAGCAGGGGACTTACTGGTTAGCGGTAGGCTGGGGTTGCGTCCAGCTGCATTATCAGGAGGTTTTGGGGAGGAGCTCAGGCTTTTGGAACTGCTGGTAGACAATGTTCGAACCTTCAACCCACCAGAAACTGCTGCTCGGGAGCTGCCGCTGACTCGGACCTGCCCCAGTTTGCTTGTGGTTGCAAAGATACCAGGAGAAACTTGGGAGGAAGAAGCAGATGTGGAGGTAGAGGCTGGAACCCCAAGTCTTGACACTGATCTATTTGACCTGCTGTTACCTCCTACAGCAGCAGCACTGCTGTCCCTGAACAGCTCAGACTTGGAGCCAGCAAAGGCTTGACTGTCACATCTCTCCAGAGACAACAGACTGCCGTAGTACTTGGAGGAATCTGCTTTTCGTGCCTTCAGGCTTGATGATGTCCTGGCTGAGCCATGTTCAGTTTTTAAGCTTGATGTCCGGTGGCTGAATGAATCTGCCCGGAGCCTGGCGGTGAATTCTTCCACCGAGGTTGATGTTTTAGGGAATGAGGACTTCCCAATGTCGCTGCTTGTTTTTAAGGCACTTGGAGAGATGTTTCCAGATCCAGACTTGGAGATGGTGTTGGTTCTCTGGCCATTTGACTTCTTTCCCAAGGAAGCAAACCTTAGGGTACCGGCCACTGAAGTGGTCTCGTGACCCCATTTGGATTCAGAACTCTGGGGGATGGAAACAGTTCCTAGAGTCGTTGCACCTCGGGTGAGTCGTGGCAGCTTGATGAGAGTATCTCCTCTCCTGCTGCTGGACTTCTCACAACCATCCACAACCCTCTGACCTGAAGACGACACTTGTGCCTTTGGTGGACGAGGTACACTGTTACTGTTCCCTCTGGACCTCTTAGAGGAAGCGCTGCTTACGCCACTTCTTGATGGCTTACCTGCAGAGAGAAACTCGACCTCTCTGGGATCTAAGTGGCTGCTTCCCTGAAGCAAAAAGTCATCGTGTCTGCCTTCCTGTTTGCTGCAGCCCACACCTGCAGATGAGGTAGGCTTCGTTTTCCTGGGAAGACTGGAATGGGAGGCGTGATGGGGAATCTGGGTTGACAGTGAAGAGTTCAGAGTGTTGGCTCTCACCTTGAGAGAGCCTTTGAGAGAGGCTTTGGTTGAGTCAGGGGAGGGAGGGCACTTGGTAAATGAGGGTTTGTTTGGAGTTGCAGGGTTACTGTCCAGCTCTGAGAAACAGACTCCACTGTCGTTCAGCGAGCTCTTGATGCCATGCTGCAAAAATTGCTGTGTATGAAATATACTTGGTGAGGTCAGTGTTGATGCATTCTCTGTTGCCATATTTTTGTCCCTCAGCTGAAGCCTGCTTGTTGAACGAGCATCTTCTCTTTCAGCTGAGTCAGCAGTCTCTTCACTTGGTCGTGAGCCAATGGACGACTGCTCACTGCCACGTCGGGAAAACATCTCCTGGAAGTAGGTTCCAACATCATCTCCAGGTCCCATGGCTCCTTGTTGAGATGTGTAAGCATCATACTCGTCGTTTATGCTGCTGATGATGCTGACAGGGCGAGAACCAGAGGCGAAGGCCTCCAGAGAGCAGTCGCTGTTGAAGCTGAGGAGGTTGGAGGGATGGCCGTTGTCTGGGACAAGACCGTGAGGAAGCTCCTCTACGACCGTGAACACAAGCTCATCCTCGCCGTTCAGCTCCACGGGCTGCTGCAGTGTAACTGTAGTCCTCAGAAAATCCCTGTCAAGGCATCTTCCTAACAGTGATGCCCGGAGATTGTTGAGCTCCATGGGGCCTCTGCTTGTATGAAGGGCTCTTCCCATACTACGTGGCCCCAGTGGTTGGCCTTGCCTCAGCGCTTGTTGACTCATACCCACTGGGGGAGTCCTAGCAACAACCTCACCAGGCTGAGATGCTGCCCTGGATGTCCTAGGTAAGGATGGTGAGGCAGATGGCTTGGGTCCACCTCCTTTGAGGTAGACCTTCTCTCGCACTACAGGCTCTGTCCCACTCTGCCTCACCACACCTGGCTGAAAGGGGGTAGCTGAAAGTTTCTCCCCGTCTGCACTTGTCCGTTTGGAAGTGTCCAAACCAGCTGAGGAGATTTTGGATTGTTCCTGATCAGGTTTGTTTGTGCATGCGGTGGGTGTGCTTTCTAAGACCCTTTGGGAGGAGTTCTTATCAGATTTGGGCTGAGACGTCACCTCTGTTGGTTTAGTAGCTCCAGTCCTAAGTGCTGCTGCTTGTGCTGCTTTACCCTCTGTACCGAATGTGGCCGGGCCCTCGCTGCCATCGATGCAGTCCAGTCTCTCCTGTAACTCTGCAAACGTGTTGCACTTGAAGTGGTCACCATCAGACCTGGGTGTGTCTTTGACTCGCTTTTTGTTCAGGGAGGGGATGATGGGAACAAAGGAGGGTGGTCCCTCGTTGTCGCTCAGGTCTCGGTCCAAGATGGCCGTCCCTCCTGGCCCGATGTAGATGACGGTGTCACAGGAGTGTTCGCTGCTGGAGGAGTAGTCTGGATCACTGGAGAGCAGCAGGGGCGTGTCCGGGTCGAGGGCCACGGTCCGAGGGTGGAAGGATCGAAGGTGTGGGGGTCGGTGGGACGGACCTTCCTCGCAGGAACTCTCGCCTCCAGATGAGCTGGAGGCGTACTGCAGATAGACAAAGATGTAACACAGAGTTAACAAACGATCGGCCTGAAGGAAAATCAATTTCTGAAGCGTTTTCGACACAGTCCGAGGTTAAAGGTGCACACTGTGGGCTGGACTAAAGCTAATGTCAATGACATGTATGAGCATGTTTCCATGAGGCTCTCTCAGTCTACAAAACACAAATACGACCTGTCAGTGTGAAAGCCTCAGAGGCTGCCGCCCCCGCAGGAGCACTCATATTGATTATCTGTCACATCTTGGCTGAATTACATATAACTGAATTATGAATACATGGCTCTGACCTGATCAGAGTTTTAACTGTCACCAGCCTCACACAATAATCTGAGGGATGTTCAACTAACAACCAATGAATCTCTCAAATCTTGATATTCCCTTTAAAGAAGTAGCTTCAATGTTATAAATATATCATGGTATCATGGAGACTTAAAGAAACCAGTGACTCCCATCACTCTGAGCCCCATTACTACAGCTTTCATACACATACAATAAAAACTATTTAAATTAAGTTTTCTTTCAATTAATTCCTATCTGGAAATATTTTTAGTTCTTTTATGTTTTGCCTGATTAAGACTTCTTTGTAAAAGCCTCAAGTGGGATTTATTATATATTAATTATTAATCAGAATTTATATTTCTGATCATTGTTGAAATGTATTTAGTCTTTTTTTTCACTATATTGGTGTTAGGACTGAATCATCACAGAATTACACAAGGACTTTTAATGACATTTACTGTGTTCATATTGAAATTATTTGGCAAATGAATCAGAGTGATTTGTTTCAGGTGATAAATATCAGCAGACCAGTATTTGGTCAGAAGTCCTGGACCTAGCCGCCGATGTCAGACCAGAGTCACAGGTGCGGTACCTTGGACTTCTTCTTCCTCATGTGGTGGATGCGGGAGGCCAGCTGCACTGTGGTCAGCGTCTCCATGTAGTTCGCCGGGGAGTCGGAGATGTGGGCGATCATGGTGGTTCGACAGTTGATGTTGCCCAGGGATTCACTGAGCAGCATGGTGAGCTTGCTGTCCCTGAATAATACATCAAGAAACCCCTCGTTAGCCAAAAAAAAGAGAGCAAAGATGTACGTCAGGCCCGAGAACCCCCACAGGATCCAAGAAACCATTCGTTACACCAGGCAACAGTCGGGCCCCGACAGGAACGATCTCTCGTTTCACATTAATGAAGCCAACTTTGAAGTACACGCCACATGTGATCTGTAGTGAGATTACAGCTTTAATGATCACACGCTGAATTTAAAAACTACAGTCTAAGCTTTTTCTACTTTCTTTAATCAGAACAACAAAACTGAGATCTGGTCTTTCTCTAACCCCACGATGATTAGTTCACAAGTTGGTGCTTTTCCTCCAAACACGGTCACGTGCTCCGATGGTTTCACCATCTGCGTGTTTCCTTTAAACTGCTGCACAGCTTTTATTCGTGGGATCTGTCAAAGTTCAGTTTGAGCGGGAACGTCACGTGAGTCCTGGACTTTATGAATTTACTTCAGGAGGAACTAGAATCTGTTTCCTCCATCAACCAGCCAAGTTACAGGAAATATGGTAACAGCCTCTCCTTACAGACCAGAACATTATGTCACAGGGAAGTTGACCTTTGACCTTTGGGATATGAAATGTCATCACTCCGTTTTGTCCGAATAAACATTTGAGTTAAATTGTCTCATAATTAGTGTATGAATTGGTGGTTTATGTTTTGAGAGGTCACAGTGACCTTTGACCTATATTCTAGTCTATATTCAGGGACATAAAGCCAGAGCTCCACACAACAATCCGCCTGAATAACAAATCCCCCAGGACTGAATACACACATCAGTTATCATCACTACAATCAACAGTTTAAGAGCAGCTGAAAACCCATTAAAAATACATTAAACTCTGTCTACCTGCTTCATACTTCACCCCCCCCCGGGGCCCCTCTTTGACCCATCCATCATTAAATTAGTGTGAGCTCCTACCTGTAGGGGACGTGCTTGGCCCCGTTGGCGAGGGCGAGGATGACGTTTCCCAGCGCAGACAGAGACAGACACTGACCCCCACCCCCCTCTCTGGTCCTGCTGATGTCCGTCTCACAGCTCCCCAGGTCCAGGAGGTGAAGCCGACTCCGACCAGACACTAAGAGACGGGGGGGGGGGGGTTAAAAGACAACATACACAAAGCCTGTTTCACTGCTCATTAGTGAAGAGACGCTTCACTGGTTTAAACATTCGTCAATAAATGGAAGCGGTTTCAGACAGAGGATCAGGATCAGTCAACGGCTGTTTAAAGTCATTATCAATAACAAAACCAAACATGGGGGGGGGGGACGGACCAGGACCACAGGAAGAAATATACAAAATATAATATTAGAAATTAAATAATTTGGACATAAAAATCTGTTCAACGAAAATGTTGATAAAACCTCATATCTCAGACATGGGACAAGTCAGTGTTTTCCAGACCAACTAGTCCCATTTCAATACCCTCAACAAGACAGGTAAGTCCTGCTTCCGATCCAGTCCAGTACCAGTACCAGTCAGAACCAACAAGTCCAAAGTAAGATCTCAATGACCTCTTTCGAGGGCTAATCTCAAACCGGTTCTTTGCGTTTTGACGCCCAGGGAAGCAGCTGGTTCGAGAGCGGCAGCGACACTTTGCTGGTCTAGAACCAAGAACGGCTTAGATCAGGGGCAGGGTGGGGTGATCGTGACCAACAAGAACCACCAAAAACTGTGACATCCACCATTTTTAAAACTTTGGAAATAAAAAAAAAAAATCAACATCAAAATGTTTGGATGCTAACGTAGGGTTTGAAAGCCACGAGCAACAGCTGTACAGAGACGATGTAGTCCGACATGTCGTCCTTGGTGCTGGGGTTGCTGGGAAACTGGAGACGTAGACAGATGTCGACAGTGATGTAACGGCGTGGCTCTCTCGTCTGTTTTTAGAAGGTTGGAAAGTTGAACCAACTCCGAGCCGGAGAGGCATCAGAGAGGCTGAACGTCAATATTGGGAAGAGTCGACAAAGGTCAGTCCCACCTCAAGTTTCAATTTGGAGTCCAGAGTCACACTGAGACGTTAAAGTCACAGATCAAGTCTCTAGACTGGACCAATGAGTTTCAAGGTTTTCGTGCACTTTGACTGGCTAATTCAAATCTGCTGTCAAGAAAAACAAGTGTTACACGTCTATAATCTGACTCTGATATTACTCAGTGCATACATATGTACAACACCTGACAGTAGTAGGACGTCTGATCACTCTCTGCTGCTTTCATTAAGTCAGAGGAATGATGGTGCGAAGGATCAAACACCCGCATCAGCAACATTTACAAACTGCTGAGAGCTGAGCGCTCGCCTTCACACACACTGAGGACTCAGAGGCGTCAGGCTCATTAGCATGCAGATTTATTCCAGCTGTGGACGCAGTCGATCACTAATACCTGTGGAAACGTCTGCGCTGCCACAGGTGGACGTGGGCGCCGTTAGCGTAGCCCTTATGCTCGTTAATGTTTCTGCAGCTCTATGTGAAGCTAATTAGCTGCTACGAGTTCAGACATGAACAGTGGAAGGAAAACGAGCCGATCCCTAACAGAGGTGTCCGGTGTCACAGCTGCACCACGGCGAACAGACGAGCGGACACAGTCTGCTTTCAGAGGATCCACATGAAGTTCACATGAGACACAGACTGAGTCCGGTCAGGACAAATGTCAACAAATCTCATGTTTAGACTCAAAGTGTTAGTTCGTCTCTGACGTCCACACTCAATGGTCTCTACTTTAAAAACAAGATTTTAACCCTCTGAAGCCCACTGGAGTAAATATATCCTTAAAGTCACATGTTGTCTTTAGAGCATCATAACTCCACGACGGTTTGAGTCAGAGACACGAGGGTCACGTCACGTTCAACTAGACGATCTGATCTTTCCAACGAGCCCATTTGTCCGTGTGAATCACGGACTTCAGTCGATAAACTCTCTCATACCGCTTCTCTCACCAATTTGAATTATTTCCACTTTATTTCTCTCAATCTGTCTCTAAAAACTTCATTACCCATGAGTCTGCTGTTGCCGCGGAGAGGAAACCAGAAACCACCATCACCTGAGATTCAGAAGGTAAATTCACTGTTTTCTCAACAGTGTGACGCTCTGTGAGAGGATGACTTTCAGTGAAATGCACCATGGGAGTTGTAGTTGACTTCTCTCTGAACACACACACACTCACACACGCACACACACACACACACACACACACACACACTGACTTGCTGCCTTGCTGCTCTTGTCCAGCCTCTCCTGGTAGAGGTGCAGGGTGAACAGGAAGTGGGAGTTCCTCCGGGCCTCCTGGTCGCTTGGCGCCCGGCTGCTCCTCCTCTCCGCCAGGGCGGCGTCCAGGAAGAAGGCTGCTCGCTCAGCATTGTTTGCCCGCAGCTCCGTCTGGTTCTGCAGCTGATGGACGGAGAGAGAGAGAGAGAGTGAGAGAGGTGACAGTCGAGTGTAGAAAACCTTCAGGCAGCAGCTCCTCATGTTCATCTGCTGATGCCACTTTCACCTGTTGTCAGGTCACATCACCTGTCACTGATGATGCTGCGTCTGTCAGTCACCTGTCACAGGACAAACTGCTCTGCTGTCAGTGTGTGTCTGAACTCTTTCTTCTGTTCCCTCAGTAACATCAGATCAGTGATTTCAGCTCGGACATGTCACATGTTTTTACGTCGTTTCGTTACGTTGTCCGATCTACAAAGAGGAAGGATGTGACGAGTTTCTCAGAAATAAACGGAGAGGAGCGGCGACACGACACAATGAGGTTTGATAGAGACGGAGAGGAAGTCTGAACGAGGGTGGAAAACATGGAGAAAAGAGGAAGGAAATTAAAGTGAGAGGAGATAAAAAGTGGCAGACAGACGGAGCCCGGGGAGATAACACAGAATAAGAATAAGGGAGATGGTCAGGACTAATTGGACAGCTGTGGACAGAGATGAAGTCTCTGGGGTGAGGAGGAGGTCGAAGGACAGGAGAGGATGGGAGGAGGTGAAGGGAAGGAGGAGAGAAAGAGGGAACACATGAAGGTGACCTGAGGAAACATCCTCCACTGTGCCAGTTTTCCTGAGTGTGACAACCTGTGTCCTGGCATTTATTTTGAAAACACAGTCACTGTGCGGCCACTTCCTTCCACCCTGGGGAGGTGAAGGTGACGTAAGAGGAAGCAGCCTACCTGGGATCCACAGACGGGGTCTTCTCTCAGTGACACGGCGGGGCCCGGGGCCTCCTGCTGGCCCCCAGAGGAGGAGGAGGAGGAGGGGGAGGAGGACAGCCGAGCCAGGAGGTCGGTGAGCGTCTCCTCTCGGCCAGAGATCTCCACGGCTGACACTCTGACGGAGAGACGAGCTCCAGCCTTCTCTCTGCGCTCCTCAATGACCTTAAAGAGCCAGGAGATGGCTGTCGGGGCAACGCCCAGACTCTGGGTGGAGCAGTCCCGACCAATCATGGTGTAGGTCTTACCTGAGGGGGCGGAGTCAACGTGACAATCAAAAAAAAGAAAAGAAATCCTCAGTGGAACAAAGTGTGTGTGTGTGTGTGTCTGTCTGTGTGTGTGTGTGTGTGTTTGTGACTGTGTGTGTGTGTGCGTGTGTGTGTGTGTTTGTGTCTCTGTGTGTGTCTCTGTCTGTGTGTGTGTGTGTCTGTGTGTGTGTGTGTGTCTCTGTGTGTGTCTCTGTGTGTGTCTCTGTGTGTGTCTCTGTGTGTGTCTCTGTGTGTGTCTCTGTGTGTGTCTCTGTGTGTGTCTCTGTGTGTGTCTCTGTGTGTGTCTCTGTGTGTGTCTCTGTGTGTGTCTCTGTGTGTGTCTCTGTGTGTGTCTCTGTGTGTGTCTCTGTGTGTGTCTCTGTGTGTGTCTCTGTGTGTGTCTCTGTGTGTGTCTCTGTGTGTGTCTCTGTGTGTGTCTCTGTGTGTGTCTCTGTGTGTGTCTCTGTGTGTGTCTCTGTGTGTGTCTCTGTGTGTGTCTCTGTGTGTGTCTCTGTGTGTGTCTCTGTGTGTGTCTCTGTGTGTGTCTCTGTGTGTGTCTCTGTGTGTGTCTCTGTGTGTGTCTCTGTGTGTGTCTCTGTGTGTGTCTCTGTGTGTGTCTCTGTGTGTGTCTCTGTGTGTGTCTCTGTGTGTGTCTCTGTGTGTGTCTCTGTGTGTGTGTGTGTGTGTGTGTGTGTCTGTGGGTCTGTGTGTGTGTGTGTGTCTCTGTGTGTGTGTGTGTCTCTGCGGTTACCCAGGTTAGCGTGTCCGAAGCAGAAGATGCAGCCGTCCGCTCCGTTCACCACTGACTGGATGACCTCTGCCACTGTCCCCGAGCACACCTCCGCCTATCAGGACGCAGATCCAACCGACCAATGAGGTTAGAGCTCAGGATGACACGGAGGTGATGTCACAACACGATGTGAAACTTGTGTTCCTTTATCCTCCGCTGCCATTCACAACAAGGAGGTGTTGTGTTGCATTGTAGGACTTTGTGGGACGTTGGTTTGCGAGGTTTGAGTCACTTGATGTGACATCATGTTACATGTTTACTGTCAGACTGCAGTGTGTTGTCTCACCTAACAATCCAATACATCACTGACCTACATGTATCATAATTAATGATTATAGATTGATGACCATGGATGAGGTTGTGTTGTTAGGACACACACACACACACGCTGTTGCGTGTTTCCTCTCTGATGAAGAGCTAAAACTGTAGATGCAGACACTGATGACTGACAGACGTCTGAGCCTTGCCCTCCGTACTGACTCACCTGTGAGGAATCCAGGGAGAAGACGGCGTCAAAGGTGAAGGTCTTTGGCGCGGAGGCCAAGGAGCGTCTTTGTCCACCGCCCGACGTCTCGCAGAGACTGAGCTGCTTCTTCCTGCCGTCCACCTTGAGGAAGGACATGGACTCTGAGGACTCACTGCTGTAGACCGAGCAGATCCGGACCATCACCCGGACCTGGAGACACACAGGAAGTCCAAGTCAGAGAGGATGGACAACCACGACCTGAGTCTTTCGTCCTTCCGTTTATAAAACTGACGACTCCTCACCTGGTTACAGGTACTGTTTACAAGGACTTAAGTTATGGAGGTTTGAGGGCATGGCCTCTTTGAGTGACAGGTGGGTGAGCATATGAACCAAAGTCTCAGCTCCACACACACCCCTCTTCTTAGGGGAGGAGTCAGACACTGCCATGAAGGCGACGGTGGAGCAGCTCACTCTGAGCTTCAGAAACCTGTGGGTGACGTCCCAGAGGCCATGGGCATCTTTATTTACTATTGTGTTGTGTGTGTGTATGTGTGTGTGTGTGTGTGTGAGTGTGTGTGTGTGTGTGTGTGTGTGTGTGTCAGGAGCTGCTGACTCAGCAGGTTGCTATGAGTCAGCAGAGCGAGTTGTCAGCTGATCTCAGGTCTGTAGGAAATCAGAGCCTGGTGTAAATCATGAAGCTCTCTCCCTCTCTCTCTGTGCTGCCTCATTCTAGATGAAGCTCTCTCGCCCACACAGTCCAGAGTCCACAGGAAACAGAATTGAAGTGATTAACTTCGTCATCATCAGAACAAGAGTTCACAATGAGCTGCTCAACTATGTCTTCCTTTCATCATTTCATCCAGC